AGATATAATTTCATTACACTTTCATTATACTTTCAAATATACATTCATTTTTTTTTCAACTGGTACCGGGGGACCTTCAGACAAGTCTTGTGAGGCCTGTGGACGTCCTAGAGCAAAACAACCAAAATACCTTTCCACAGAGGGGTCATATTAGTGTGAATCCCAAAGTGTTAGGACGCTAGAGACAGACGTTGGCAGATCGGCTGTACCGACTTCAGAAGAGTCCCAGGACGCTTGCGGGGGTCGTGGAGCACAACGGATAACATTGTGTTCATGAGAGGCTCATCTTTCCACAGAGGGGTCATAATAGCTTTTAGGCCAAACCTTTCAGACGCTACAGACGATATTGTGAGAAGACCCATTTTCGGGACGTCTCATGGTCTGACAAACACCCCTCTAGCGCTGTCACCTTTCACCGCAGATGCGGAAGTGCGACATCGGCGGATACAGAGGATTGAGACGCATCAACGCAAAAAAAACATCTCTAGCTTAAACTGAGAGATTTTTTATGGGGATGTTTTTATTATGCTAATTAGACTATGGTTTTTCCAGTTTTGCTTATACGCATGTTATAAACTAGCTTTGTGATGTTCTTCAGTGTTATAACCAGCCTTTATAAACACTGTGGCTGGTTAATGATTCTGTAAACATCATTATGTAGTAGCTAGCTGACAGAGTGTTATAACCAGCCTTTATAAACACTGTGGCTGGTTAATGGTTCTGTAAACATAATTATGTAGTAGCTAGCTGACAGAGTTTTATAACCAGCCTTTATAAACACTGTGGCTGGTTAATGCTTCTGTAAACATCATTATGTAGTAGCTAGCTGACAGAGTGTTATAACCAGCCTTTATAAACACTGTGGCTGGTTAATGGTTCTGTAAACATAATTATGTAGTAGCTAGCTGACAGAGTTTTATAACCAGCCTTTATAAACACTGTGGCTGGTTAATGCTTCTGTAAACATAATTATGTAGTAGCTAGCTGACAGAGTGTTATAACCAGCCTTTATAAACACTGTGGCTGGTTAATGGTTCTGTAAACATAATTATGTAGTAGCTAGCTGACAGAGTGTTATAACCAGCCTTTATAAACACTGTGGCTGGTTAATGCTTCTGTAAACATAATTATGTAGTAGCTAGCTGACAGAGTGTTATAACCAGCCTTTATAAACACTGTGGCTGGTTAATGGTTCTGTAAACATCATTATGTAGTAGCTAGCTGACATAGATGTGGTTTTATTGATCAGTAGAGGTCATGTGGTCTGGTTTCATTGACCTGGAATGGATCCAGTGGATCCAGAGAGAGGAAGAGAGGGAAGAGGAAATCAACAGATGGAGGTATATAGAAAGAGGATAGGAAAGGGGGATGAGAGAGAGAGAGACACACACACACCACACACACACACACACACAGACACACACCCCTCTGTGAGAAAGCAGGCCTAGACGAGCCATCCCATCAGCCCCTGGGGCAGAGCTGATGACCTCATGGTGTTAATCAGCCAATCGATTGAGAGCTAGCATGATGCTGGTGTAGAAGCCTCTGTGGTGCCAGCTTCCACTATCAGTATGTGTGTGTGTGTGTGTGTGTGTGTGTGTGTGTGTGTGTGTGTGTGTGTGTGTGTGTGTGTGTGTGTGTGTGTGTGTGTGTGTGTGTGTGTGTGTGTGTGTGTGTGTGTGTGTGTGTGTGTGTCAGGTCTGTGAACAGAGATAAGTGAGTAGTGCTGTGCTGGCCGGCATTCCTATCATTCAAGAGGAGCAGAGTAGCAGAGGAGCAGAGGAGCAGAGTAGCAGAGTAGCAGAGTAGCAGAGAGAGAGAGTAGCAGAGTAGCAGAGAAAGTAGCAGAGAGAGAGTAGCAGAGAAAGTAGCAGAGAGTGTAGCAGCGAGAGAGTAGCATAGAGAGTAGAAGATAGTAGCAGAGAGAATAGCAGAGAGAGTAGCATAGAGAATAGCAGAGAGAAAGTAGGAGAGAGAGAGAGTAGCAGAGAGAGTAGCAAAGAGAGAAAGTATTAGAAAGAGAGAGAGAGAGTAGTAGAGAGAGTAGCAAAGAGAGAGTAGCAGAGAGAGAGTAGCAGAGAGAGAGTAGCAGAGAGAGAGAGTAGCAGAGAGAGTAGCAAAGAGAGAAAGTATTAGAAAGAGAGAGAGAGAGTAGTAGAGAGAGTAGCAAAGAGAGAGTAGCAGAGAGAGAGTAGCAGAGAGAGTAGCAGAGAGAGAGAGTAGCAGAGAGAGAGTTGCAGAGAGAGAATAGCAGAGAGAGAGTAGCAGAGAGAATATTAGAGAAAGAGTAGCAGAGAGAGAGAGTAGCAGATAGAGTAGAAGAGAGAGAGTAGCAGAGAGAATATTAGAGAGAGAGTAGCAGAGAGAGAAAGTAGCAGAGAGAAAGTAGCAGAGAGAATATTAGAGAGAGAGTAGCAGAGAGAGAGAGTAGCAGAGAGAGTAGCAAAGAGAGAAAGTATTAGAAAGAGAGAGAGAGAGTAGTAGAGAGAGTAGCAATGAGAGAATAGAAGAGAGAGAGGAACAGAGAGAGAGTAGCAGAGAGAGTAGCAGAAAGAGAGAGAGAGTAGCAGAGAGAGAGTAGCAGAGAGAGGAGCAGAGAGAGAGTAGCAGAGAGAGTAGCAGAAAGAGAGAGAGAGAGAGTAGCAGAGAGAGTAGCCGAGAGAGTAGCAGAGAGAGGGTAGCAGAGAGAAAGTAGGAGAAAGAGTAGCAGAGAGAAAGTAGCAGAGGGAATATTAGAGAGAGAGTAGCAGAGAGAGTAGAAGAGAGAGTAGCAGAGAGAGAGTAGCAGAGAGAAAGTAGCAGAGAGAGTAGCAGAGAGAGAGTTACAGAGAGAGAGTAGTAGAGAGAGTAGCAGATAGAGAGTAGCAGAGAAAGAGTAGCAGAGAGAGATTAGCAGAAAGAGAGAGAATAGCAGAGAGAGTTGCAGAGAGAGAGTATTAGAGAGAGTAGCAGAGAGAGTAGCAGAGAGAGAGTAGCAGAGAGAAAGCAGCAGAGAGAATATTAGAGAGAGAGTAGCAAAGAGAGAGTAGCAGAGAGAGAGTAGCAGAGAGAGAGATAGAGTAGCAGAGAGAGAGTTGCAGAGAGAGAATAGCAGAGAGAGAGTAGCAGAGAGAATATTAGAGAAAGAGTAGCAGAGAGAGAGAGTAGCATAGAGAGTTGCAGAGAGAGAGTATTAGAGAGAGAGTAGCAGAGAGAATAGCAAAGAGAGAGTAGCAGAGAGAATATTAGAGAGAGAGTTGCAGAGAGAGTAGCAGAGAGAGAGTAGCAGAGAGAGAGATAGAGTAGCAGTGAGAGAATAGAAGAGAGAGAGGAGCAGAGAGAGAGGAGCAGAGAGAGAGAGAGAGAGTAGCAGAGAGAGTAGCAGAGAGAGAGTAGCAGAGAGAAAGCAGGAGAGAGAATAGCAAAGAGAGAGTAGCAGAGAGAATATTAGAGAGAGAGTTGCAGAGAGAGTAGCAGAGAGAGAGTAGCAGAGAGAGAGATAGAGTAGCAGTGAGAGAATAGAAGAGAGAGGAGCAGAGAGAGAGGAGCAGAGAGAGAGGAGCAGAGAGAGAGAGAGAGAGTAGCAGAGAGAGTAGCCGAGAGAGAGTAGCAGAGAGAGGACCAGAGAGAGTAGCAGAGAGAGGAGCAGAGAGAGTAGCAGAGAGAGAGGACCAGAGAGAGGAGCAGAGAGAGAGTAGCAGAGAGAGTAGCAGAGAGAGTAGCAGAGAGAGAGGACCAGAGAGAGAGTAGCAGAGAGAGAGTAGCAGAGAGAGGACCAGAGAGAGAGTAGCAGAGAGAGTAGCAGAGAGAGAGTAGCAGATAGAGTAGCAGTGAGAGAATAGAAGAGAGAGAGGATTAGATAGAGAGGAGCAGAGAGAGAGTAGCAGAGAGAGTAGCAGAAAGAGAGAGAGAGAGTAGCAGAGAGAGAGTAGCAGAGAGAGGAGCAGAGAGATTAGCAGAGAGAGAGAGTAGCAGAGAGAGAGTAGCAGAGAGAGTAGCAGAGAGAGAGTAGCAGAGAGAGAGTAGCAGAGAGAGAGTAGCAGAGAGATTAGCAGAGAGAGAGGAGCAGAGAGAGAGTAGCAGAGAGAGTAGCAGAAAGAGAGAGAGAGAGTAGCAGAGAGAGAGTAGCAGAGAGAGGAGCAGAGAGATTAGCAGAGAGAGAGAGTAGCAGAGAGAGAGTAGCAGAGAGAGTAGCAGAGAGAGTAGCAGAGAGAGAGTAGCAGAGAGAGAGTAGCAGAGAGAGAGTAGCAGAGAGAGAGTAGCAGAGAGAGAGTAGCAGAGAGAGTAGCAGAGAGAGAGTAGCAGAGAGAGGAGCAGAGAGAGAGTAGCAGAGAGAGGGTAGCAGAGAGAGGGTAGCAGAGAGAGAGTAGCAGAGAGAGGGTAGCAGAGACACAGCATCATGCTAGCTCTCAATCGATTGGCTCTCTTCTCTCTCCATCTCTCTCTCCATCTCTCTCTCTCTCTCTCTTCTCTCTCCATCTCTCTCTCTTCTCTCTCCATCTCTCTCTCTTCTCTCTCCATCTCTCTCTCTTCTCTCTCCATCTCTCTCTCTCTCTTCTCGCTATGTCCCTTTTTCCTCTTCTCTCTTGCCGCCAGTCAGTCTAGACATCAGAGGCACAGTGGAGACAGGTTGGATTGGGAGATGCGAACACACACACACACACACACACACACACACACACAGACACACACATACACACCACATACACACACACACCACACACACACACCACACACACACACACACCCACACACACACACACACACACCCCACACCACACACACCACACACACACACACACACACCCACACACACACACACCCACACACAACCCTACTACAACATATCCCAACCCTATACCATACTTCCCCCC